AAGACCTTTATTCTAAGTGTAGTATGCTCCTATGACTATGGTTGCCACTCTATGTGTTCTTGCCATGTCCATTTCTGCACCTCAAACAACCTGTTATCCTTTAAACTAATCCTCCTTGACTAATACCCTCTATGATATCTAATCCTGTTTATACTGTGTAATCCTGAGTTTGGTATAATCTGATCCTTTAAGTTCTACACTGGTTGCATTACTTGGTTTTACTAGTCTAATGCCCTTTCCTGCTGACTTTGCAATCCGAGGCTCTTTATTTCTTATAATATGACACCCTGCCCAATATGTTAGTTTGCTTCTTAAGTTCATTATGTGATTATCTTATAGTGTTTGCAAATGCTTTTCCAAACCTATTGCTATTTTTCATTGATTGTTTCTTGTTATGAGTCTAATTCTGGGTCGGCTGAAAGCCAAGGCCCCCTCCCCTAAATCTTCTCTATCAACCTCCCTAGTGTAAGCACTGCTCAAGGTCCATTTTGAGACCCTTGTGAACTCTGACACACTAGGGTCTAAGGTTCTTTGGGCCACTTTGTCCTAATTGTTCAACTCTGCCCCTCCCTTTTTCACCTACTGAATAAACCAATTAGTTTGTGTAAATGGCTGTTGATCAGCCCTGGCTACTGGGTTTAGGCTATTTTGTGTAAATGAAGATTGTTTTTCTGGGTTTGATTGGCTATGACTTCTGGGCTGTGGTGTAGCCTGTTGGATATGTAATTGAAGGCATTGCTGGCTGGGTATACTTTGGGCCTATCTTAGGCCCACTATAGTTATTTTGTAACCCTGCAATTTATTTCACTCATTGAGTCTGTAATAATGTTGTAATAACAATTGGGGTGTTAGTAAAATTGGAAAAATGGGTGTATTCTAATATTTGCATGAACGGGTAGAAATCCTGTCTATAGGTATTTAATTTGCTCGAACATGTTCTGCTACTATGCGTGTTAGATAACCTGCCTATAGGACTTGAGTGTTTAATTCATTTAACATATTCTGCTTCTACATGTTTGTTAGATATCATGTCTATAGGAAATAAAGTGACCAATGTTTCAATTTGCATTACGGCATATTCATTAGATACTATGACCCTAGGGTTACATTAGCTTATGTTCTGCAAATCTGTATTTTAGAAATCATGCCTATAGGGTTTTAATTGGTTAATGTGCTGTTGTTATAATTGCTCACTTAGGAGACATGCCTATAGGAGCTAAAGCGAGTTTCAATCGCTAATTGTAGAAATTCTGCCTATAGGGTAATCCCACTCGCTTTTAAGTGTTAATATTGAACACTGTTTCTATTAGAAAGCATGCTTATAGGATCCAACTGAGTAGTTCTGAATATCTTCTATGGTTATCATTGCTAACTATTGTGTAAATCACCTAGATAGCATGTCTATAGGTTTAATCGCTTATAATCTGTAATCAACGAGCAATTGTGTAGTCGCTTAGAAGTTGTATCTAAAACGACACCTTGCATCTGAAACTGCCAGCACGTTTGAATTCCAAGGTCACATAGAAACCATGTCTATAGGGCTTAATGGCTTTAATTTGCCTCAATCCTGAAATTGTCTAACGTTTAATGTGAAAATTTATTCGCGTGCATTTGTTGTCTAAGTGTGGAGGCTAACTTGAGCCCTTAATTGCTTTTACATAAAGTCCAACTTGTTTTGTATGTCGCCTAGTTTTATCATTTCTGAGCATCCTAAGCTAAGTCTAGAAACCATCCAAAATAGAGGTCCAAACGCCTCCTGGGCCATAGGCATGAGACGGGTAGTGTACGCATAGGGCACAATTTAGAATCAACTACTGCGCTTTAGGTAAAAATTTAAAGATAGTAATCGGGCAGCAGGAGATGATAGACTGTGCCCGCTGAATAATACGAGTAACACCCCACCTCGAAGGAGTTACGAAGTATTATTTATGTTGCACGGGGTGATCCTTTAGACTAAAAAACATAGGACCCCCCATCTTGTCTTTAAACCAATTATCTGTGTTTACTCTTTTATTTTGGTAAATCCACTAGGCAGAGTGCCTAGGACTAGTTTTTATATATGTAATAAAATAAAAAAAAGTAGCATGTTGTCTTACGATGAGTAAGACGATAATATATGTCTAACACATATGTCCTATTATCAACTTTGAGCTTGTGAGGCCCAAAATTGATATACAAAATGATCTAATATGAATATGAAAATGAAAGCCTAAAACATGTATAAAAACTAGCCTATTACATAGATAGCCATAATATGCAGATGTGACCATTTGTTTGCCATTGTATTCTGCTAAGAAGTACTTCTCAGTAGTTGTTTGGTCTAAATTTCTTGCACTGTTAAATCTGCAAACCTTTGATGCTGCAAACTTAAAAACCAAACAGTGTTCTACCGTAGATATCACTGTCCAGCACCCAATATTCATCATTTTGCTGCATTTTGATGTCCATATTTCGTGCATGATCCTTTTCTGAACGTGTAGAACTCTTCCCAGATTGTGCTCCTTGTGGCTTCTACTTGATGAACCTGATGAGCTGCTCCAATTTCTGCGTTGCCATTTTCCTGTATGACCATCTGAAAAGCACTTCCTCGTCCAAAACCTGGGGAATATGTGCCAGTTGTGAATTTGGCCACCCTTTGATTCTTGTGTTTTGTATCTGTTTGCTAGGTTGAGTGCATTTCTTGACATGATGGAACATTGTACATGAAAAATGTCATGCCAATACTCCCCCATAATGTTGCAGAAACCTAGCCAGTTCCAGTGAAAATATATTGTCACGCTTGTGTCTACCCCAGCTTCACTCCCGTTAGAATGAGTACAAAGTACTAATACCACCAACTAAGAATTAGGCAAAGGATAGGGTATGACTACATTGTCATTTCCTGCAAAAAAGACCACTAGGTTAATATATATAAAGGCTCTTCTCGATTCCAAATTATGCCTGCCTAAGGTGAGGAGGCAGGACATTTTGTTTTCCTCATAGTCCTTGTGTTGTGTGTTTTTGTCTTCTCCAGTTGGTGTTTTTGGAGTCACGTTGTACATTAAAATGATCCACGAAAAAGCACTATCTCCCATCTGCTTACTATCTTCATCTTTGCACCAGTTGTGATTGAACCAGTCCATTTTGAAGACAGATTCGTATGTGGCCCATAGCTGCTCATTGCCTAAACTTAGGTGCTTCCCTTCCTGTGCAATTGAGGTGTTAACTTGCATTTGGTTGTCCACTCCAAACACCTCCTTTGCTCGTATTTTAGCTTTCCAAAATTACCTGCTAAGCATATTAATTATGGGCAGCAGAGTACTCCTCCTCGCTTCTATGCTTGTGCCTAACTTTAACTTCCTGCCAGTGGAATGAGTGCATAGAACTAATACCACCAACTGAAATTCCATCAAAGTATAGGGCATAGACACAGTAACTTTCCCTGCAAAAAAGAACACTGTGTTAGTGAAACAATTCATCACCATGCTCTCCTCCATATGGACTTAAACATGGTGATGCATTGTGAAATCCCTAAATGAACCACCCTCAGAATCAATGTGATCTTCTTTGAAATTTGCCTTGTTCCATGTATGATCAGTAGGTCTGTTGTAATGGTTTTGATTTTTGAACAGTAGACCTTCCATTCCACATGCATAAAATCTGTGCTTAATCTTGTTGCGCACATACACTAATTGGACATAATTTTCCATAACTTTGTGTTGTTTTCCATAGCTGTTGAATGCATTCCAGTTGACCACCATATACCTTATATGTTGTAAGCTAACAACTAGTATAAGATATGTCACTAATGTACCCAAGCTAGTTGTTTTAGCAATGTAACAGGACTCCAGTGAACTGCACTGTCCATTTCTCCTCTGTAGCTTCATGCTTATGCCAATCATTAATTTCCCTCCATGTGAATGAGCAAGAATTACTGATACCACCCATAGGATTTCAAACAATGAATAGGACATGATCACAGTAACTATCCCTGCAAAAAAGAACACAACGTTAGTGATAAACAATACACCTAGGCTCTCCTCCCTAAGGACTTGAGCATAGATATATAAGTGATCTCCTGTATTCTCTTCCACATTGATCTCCTCCCTAAGGATTTGATCACAGCCTTTCGATTGATCTTTTCTTTTGCTTTTGAATTCCATCTGCATCATCAGTAGTTTCTGGCAGCCTTAACCCTCACATATGGACATTGTGATTTATCAGAATTCACAATCCTTCGACCTTGTGAATCAAGCTGTGAAAATCCATAAGCCTCAATATTCCCCCTATCTAATGCATAATTAGCTAAGTGATCTGCTAAACTATTGCTCTCCCTTAAACTGTGAGATACATTTACATTACACTCCTCGATAATATTTCTGCTCCCCTCTACATATTCCTTACATTTCAAGGAGGCACCCACTTCCCTTCTAAAAGATTCTTCATGAGCATTGAATCTGTTTGTAGTATGATTTGGGTGAACCCCTGCCCCACACAAAATCGCAATGCCTCCAAAATTGCTAATGCTTCTGCCTCATTATTTGTAGCATGGGGTATCTCCTTTCCTATTGCACAAATGACATCTCCTTCCTCATCCCTCACCACATAGCCTATAGAACTCATTTTTGAACTTTCCCTGCTTGCACCATCAGTATTCACCTTGATCCATCCTTCAGTAGGACACTCCCATATAACTTTTGTGATCTTCAAAGCTGGGGTATATTGCTCCAGTTGTTGAATTAAGCCAGGCCATTTGTGTGGCACATTCTTCATACTAGGCTTTCTTACTTTGACAAGGGATTGTAAGGTAGTCGAAATTTGATATATCACTCTACTAATTGTCACCACCTCACCATATTTCTGACTGTTCCTTCTTTTTCATAACTCCCACACGATGATCGCAGGTAATGCTTGTAGAATAGGCTGCAGTCGTGGTATAACTTTTGTTGTCCAGCATTTAACAATTGCCTGGTGTAATGTCAAACTTCCATACTTATTCCTGCATTTGTTAGGAAATAAGTTCATACTTTTCTAGCTGCAACTGATGTAAAGAACAGATGAGGTAGTGATTCCTGCTCTTGAACACAACACCAATATTTCGATGGCATAAAATATCCCAAGCATCTCATCCAATCATCTAGAGGCAACTTTGCTTTCCAAACCTTCCACAAGAACAAAGATATTTTAAAAGGCAATCCCTTTACCCACATTTTACTATATGATATCGCAGGATCATTCCTTCTCCTCAAATATTCCCAAGCAAATTTCACAGTACAATCCCCTCTTGATTCTAACATCCAGTATGGTTTGTCTAGCACATCAATAGCAGTTGGGGGCTTAATATTTTCTAATATATATACTGCTAAATCATCAGGCAATACCTCCATCAATCTATCAACATCCCATACACCATTATGCACCACCTCATAAACATTGTTGATAGAATCATCAATTACAAAATCTGGAGGTACAACAAAATATAAAGCTCCAAGTCCTGTCCAGTTTTCATACCAAAAGAGAGACGATCCCATTTTTAAATACCATCCAATTTGATGTTCGACCAAATCTCTACATTCTAACATCTTCCTCCTTATATGTGATCCATCTCGCCAAGGAACAATAATAGGATTGAGCTTTTTACAGTACTTTTGACTCATGAATGAACTCCATAAGCTAGGTTTTGTTCTAAAATTCTACCATAACTTACAAAATAAAGCTTTGGAGACATCATGCAGTAATCGAAAATTTACACCTCCCTCTTCACACGGCAGACACAATTTGTCCCAAGATGTCCAATGTCTACTCTTTGCACCCACAACACTACTCCAAACAAATTGCACAAATATCTTGTGAACCTTATTTATCACATAAGGAGGGGGATTGACAGCTGAGAGTGAGTGAATCGGCATACTTTGAAAAACATGTGAAATCAAAATAGCTCTACCTCCAATTGATAATAATTTACCTTTCCACGTTTGTAGTTTATCCATGACTTTGGTGATGAAACCTTGATAATGATCCATTTTTCTTCTAGTGTAGAATATAGGACAACCAAGGTATATAAATAGAAAGTCTTGCCTACTGATGTCAGTTATCTGTTGGACTTTGTTTACTACTCTCTCAGGTGTAGAATGATGCATATAAATCGCAGATTTAGCTTTATTAATTAACTGCCAGAAGCAATTTCATAAGCAGATAACACTTCCATAATCAATTTCAAAGATGTAGCATCAGAGGAGGAAAAAATAATAGTGTCATCGGCATATGCGAGGTGATTGATTTTTGGACTCCATTTAGGCAATTCAAATCCACAAAAATACAAATCCAAATGGAGTGCATTCAAACCTCTAGATAGTGCTTCAGCTGCCGGGATAAAGAGAGCAGGAGATAATGGATCTCCTTGTTTCACTCCTCTTGTCGACTTGAAGAATCCATAAGGTTGCCCGTTTATCAACACAGAATACCAATTATTTGAAATGATTCCAAACACCAAACCTATGAATCTTTCTCCAAATCCCATCTTCCTCAGAACCTTAGTCAAGAAAAGCCAAGATAATCGATCATAGGCTTTAGTCATGTCTAATTTTATCACAACATTAGGCCCTGCTTTAGTCCTCATTCTATTATCTGTGATTATTTCTTGAGTTAGCAATACATTCTCAACGATGCTTCTTCCCTTAACAAAACCTGCCTACTTATCTGAAATTAGATTAGGAAGTATACCAGCTAGCCTCTCATGAATAACCCTCGAGAAAACTTTATTTATAAAGTTACTAAGGCTAATTGGTCGCATATCAGAATAAGTAGAAACCTCTTTCTTCTTAGGTAATAACACCAAATTTGTGTGAGTCACAAACTTTGGTAAATTCTGCCCATTTAAGAAAGCTCTAACCATGTCATACACATCATCTCCGACTATATCCTAGCATGTTTGGAAAAAACATCCAGTGAACCCATCAGGTCCCCCTGCACTGTCCCCATTGATCCCAAACATTGCCTCTTGCACTTCATCTTTGGTAGGCTGCCTCATGAGCATTTCATTATGTTCGTTATTCACCATATGTGGCATATGATCCAGTATCTTAAATGCTTCAGGAACCTTATCTTCATGAAATTGAGAATTGAAAAATTTTACACCTTCATCTGCCATAGCCTCTGTATCTTCAATCCAATTGCCCTCGCTATTTTGAATTCTATTCAATTCCAACCTTTTCCTTCTTCCATTGACTTGCGCATGAAAAAAATTTGTGTTCCTATCTCTATCTTTGAACCATGACATTCCAGATTTTTGCTTCCAAAATTCCTCCTCCAGCGTTAAGTATTTTATGAACTCTGCTTGAACTTTCATAAGCCTTTCTCTATTCTGAAAAGAAGGATTCAATTCGAATTGTGCTTCATGAACTAAGACAACTTCTTCCAAACTAGCAATCTTTTGGAAGATGTTTCTATATGTAGACTTGCTCCAAATTGAGATGGCCTTCTTCACCTTTTTGAGCTTGTGATTGAAAAGAGTAAATGGATTAGCATGAAAATCAGCAGCCCAGTTCTCTACCACAACAACTTTAAATGTCTCATGTTTGGTCCAGAAATTAAAAATTTGAAAGTTTTCTTAATTGGCACTGTCGTGGTATTGACACTCAACATCATCGGGCAATGATCTGAACCTATCTTAGAAACATGAGTAATCTCTAATCCTGTAAACATCTGCTGAAACTCTACATTGGCTAAGCATCTGTCAAGTCGCTTAAAATGCAATCACCTTCACCTCGACCATTCCACCAAGTATATATACTCCCTTTAAATCCAAGATCGAATAGGTTGCATGTATTTACACAATGCCTAAAATCAAGAACTTTATTCATGTGTATGGGCAAGACACTAAATTTTTCTTCTTCATCCCAAATAACATTAAAATCTCCTCCGACTAGCCATGGAAGAGACACATCACTTGCAAGTGCATATAAATTGTCCCACAACTCTATTCTTTCAGTAGAATCACATTTTGCATAGACAAAGGTGACAATAAATGACACTCGAGTATCCATATTTGTCAATTTTAATGTCAGTTGTTGCTCCATATTTATAATGATATCAACCCCATGATCTTCATTCCCATATTTTATTTGAAACATTAACGAAGGCTTGTAGCATTCCAATCTTTCTTCTATACCTTTCTAGCTTAGTTGCTCTTTGCATTGGTTCCATGATACCTATGAATTGAAAATGGTGTTGCCTCTGCATATTGACAAGCCTCTCAAAGGCTTTCTTTGTATTCACCGATCTCACATTCCAAATTAAAGCATTTATCATTGATTGTGCAATTTGGATTGGGTCCTTCTTATTTGAACCCCAGGTGGAACTACACTTTGATTATCTCTGGATTGCTTCTTTTTACCCCTCCTAGAAGATTTTCCTTTCTCAATTGCTCTAGGTGAAAGATCACCTTGCCTTGCTATATTCTTAAAGTTCTGTGCCGTAGATTCTTCATCCATGTCTCTCCCTTTTCTTTCCACATTTTCATCCTCACCATGATCCTTCTGCTGAACTACCAGTTGATTTCTCATGGGATTGGGGAGCAGTGATTTTCCAACATTATTTTTACCAACATTGGTTTTATAACAACTGCATCCAATGGAACAGTGTTTGGAATTTTTTGTTGAAACTGCTCCTCATTTTTCTATTGCATAGTCATATTTTGTATGCCATTCTTAGCACTGTTAGGCTCATCACCTATGTCACCTTTATCTCCTTTAGTACCCCCAAGGTCATTCAACAAAGTATTATCCACATTAGGGTGGTCATTAATCCTAATAGGAACAACTGTAGCTACAGGGGAATTTTGCAGCTTTTGTTTTTCATTTTCTTGCACAGTTGGGGCTTCAATAGATTGCTGATTGTCATTGTTTGTTGTCACAGCTTTAACACCTTGTCCATTCACACTTTGTTCTTATTCTCCATCTTGATCATCTTCTGTTATATCTTCAGCATCACTATCTTCCTCATCCCCCAGTAATTCATTCTCCTCTGAATCCTCCTTAGTTTGATGACTCCATAACTTGCCTTCTCCCAACTGTATTTTTCCAGATTCTTTTACTAACTTATTTGCATCGAATGAGTCTTGAGATGGTATTTCCTGGCATGAAGTATTGGTAGCAACTAAATTACCACCAAAAGTTCTTTGTACCCATTGTGATGTGGACTCCTTATTTGGTGCAAACTTTTCCTTAACTTTGTCGATTGAGCTATCTTTATTACCATCCTTAGACACCCCAGTCCTAGGAGAAGTAGGATTAAATTCTGGAGCTGCTGCATTAAGTGTTTTCCCAGTAGGAGTTGTACTAGGTGTAGGAGTTTGATTATTACCATATTCTACTACTACCAGCTGATTGTTAGGTTCCTCAACTGCCCAATTCTTTTGCACCACCATAGCATTACTATTAGCTTGAATTTGTTTCTGCACTACAACAACATTTTCATTCCTAATTTCTTCAATTTCCAAAACTGCAAATTGGTTTCCCACTTGAACCTGCTGCCTTTCACCTTGACTAACTGGGACTATTTCTTTTCTAGTAGTTCCTTGAGCCTCCTTTTGATTAATAATCTTTTTAGTACGATTATCCCTAACCTCTTTTCATTGTTCCTTACCATTACCATTGACATTGCCTACTACTTTTCCACTCGACAAAATCATCAAAGGCCTATGTTGATTTAAGTTAGCTGATCCAGTAACCAATTCACCTTGTTTAGTAACTTCATTCTCAGCTTGTTGCTCAACAGTCCTGTTCTTCATTAGTTCTGGATGAATCCTCTAATGCTCATTCATCTCATGACCTTGTAGTTTGCATTCTTTACAATATTTGGGCAAGTAATCATATTTAATGGTCACCCATTCTGTCCTCATGACTCCAGTTGCCTCATTCTCTATGTCCATTCGCACCTTCTTAGGTAATTCATCTAAAATATAAACAAGAACTTTCACTCGCACACAGCTCAGCCTTGTTTTATTAATTGTAGCCATGTCGAGGTGAAGAGGCTTACCCACAGCTGACGCTAAAGAGAATAAACACCCCTTGACGAAAAATATTGGTAATAAATTTGGAAATGAAATCCACGCCATTACCTTTGGTGTTTCCTCCCCGGCCTTGAATTTTGCATCATAAATCAACGTTCTTAATTGATATTCATAACCTGCCTTGTCTTTCACATAATATACACTCTTTGATGTAAAATCAATAAAATCTTGCCATAACGTCAATCAAATTAATACGTGCCTATCCCGAAGATATCCAATATTACACTCGCCTTTAATTCCACATTGAAGAGGGACAGTTCGACGTAATTCATTAATCTCATGCCATCTATACGAAAATTTGCAAACTACTGCATATTGCAAACCTTCGATCACGTTCATTCGATCAACCTCTGCTTCAGTGAACTTCACTATGGGTTGTCCTTTTAGCATAACTGCTCGACACAATGGAATAGGATCAACAGAATTGGCTCGTTCCTGCAGGGCACTATTCAGAGTTGAAGGTTTCAGGATTTTCGAGAAATCTAACGGCTGTGGATTGGATTCTGTGGTCGTATTTGTTGGGGCGATGAAGGGAGTGGGCTGACCAGCCGGAAAAGGTGGCTGGCCGCCGGCCATTGTGGCCATTGAAGCTTAAAATCCCAGCTTTTCCGCGATGAACAGTAGCGAATCACTGTTTCATTGGATGAATAGTGAAGCGAAGCTACTGTTCACTACACTGTTACAGTGAAACAGTAGCGAAATCACTGTTCGCGTCACTGTTTGGCACTATTCACTACTAAAGTGACAGCGGAATTTTGAGAGAAAAATTCTAGAGAATTTTTCGTATAGGATTTTTTATTTGTGTTTACTCAAGGACTTTCTAATAATAATTTTTTTTTTTTTAAAAAAAACTTCTTATTTTTCTCTCTGACTATTTGACTAATTCATATAATTCAAGTTCGGCCGGTACTCACAGTTGTGGACCTCGAAGAGTGCCTAACACCTTCTCTTCGAGGTAATTTGAGCCCTTACCCGATCTTTGGTGACGCAAACTGGTTAAACCAGAGTTATTTGCAAATAACTCTCTCTTTTTACACCTTCCTTTAAAAGAGTTATCACGTGTCAAAATCCGATTTCGTGAGAAAGAGGGGCGCGACAGCCTGACGACTCTGTTGGGGATAGTTTTAGGCTCTTACCATAGCGAACTTGGTTTATATGAATTAGTCTTCTTTGATGAATGTGTTTCCTTGTTCTTTATAATTACATGAACATCCGGCTTCCATTTTCCCTTTTTATGACTACATGCACACCCTTTCCCCTATTTCCCTCTATTTTGAATTTATTTTAATATAACGACTCGGCCGATCTTTTTGAGTATTATAACCCCGTTCTCCCATTTACTGCTCAATTTATACCTTACAGTTGATTTATGACTTATCGGGTTAGTTGGTTCGGGTCCGGAAGGATTTCAGAGTGAAATGAGACACTTAGTCTCATAATTGAAACTTAAGTTAAAATAGTGACCGGATGTCGACTTATATGTAAACGACCCCGTAATGGAGTTTTAATGATTCCAATAACTTCGTATGGTAATTTTGGACTTAGGA